AAACATCAAATGTCTCTTATAATAAGGAACGGAGGGAGTAATAGCCTATTTTGGATAATTTATAAGTAATTTTTTAATCATGATTTATAAAATACGAGGCAAGTACATCGGAAGAGTTTTGTCTTAACTTACGTACAACATGCTTATAAATACTTTTAAATGCTATTTCAATTGGCCCAATGTCAAAATTCAAAGCAACACAGTGGATGTATAGAAGCAAAAACCTATTTCCCTATCTGTTTCCCCATTCATCTTTTTCTTCACAATGTCCATAAGCTCATCAAAATGAATATATGATAGTTTAAACCACTAAATAAATGTAGTTTTTTTGGTGAATAATAAATATGTTTTTTATTAGAAAGCTTGAAATGTTATGTATGTATACACATACACATATATGATTGGAGAAGTTAACATAAATAATATAAGTAACTTGATGTAAATATTGTTGCAAGTATTGATATGGGTAACACAGTTGTGCCACCTAGTCCAAGAGTCTTTGACAATGTTATTCGTATATATGATGTTTATGGTTTACCAAAATGAAATTGACAAGATTAAATTGCCTTTTAAAATTAAAAATTTTTGGTGGCTCTATTAGTGCATGCCCAAATAGTCAAACAATTTGTTCATTGCCAGATCTCAAAAGGCAAATAATAGAGTAAGATGGCGTGTTGTCTAAAGATAATACTAGTTTTTGACAATTTAAAAGTATTTACATGATTTAGATAATTAGTTTAACAACTTAATTTGTTCAACTCAAACAATGAACCGATCAATTAGACCATGGCTTGATCTTGAGTCGGTTTTTTTTTTTTGGGCCATCACTTAAGAACTAGATTAACTTGGTAATCAATCGAACTAGACTAATATTGACTCTAATATTACATATAGGAATTAATATAGAGATTTGTTTCATCATAAATATAAAACTTTAATCTGTTTTACCTCTTAGATTTATAAACTTTTTTCTTAAACTCACTCGTTGATGAAGGAAATTTAAAAAAATATCGTTTATTAAAATTATTGAGGGAAATATTTTGGTTAAAAATTTATTCAAAAATTTGGTTATTGTTCATGTAACCAATTATGACTTGTGATATAAGACATGCGGTGATTATTGTCATTTATTTTTTTTAAATATTTAATAATTTTATTACACTGACAATATCCAACGCGAAAAAAGCTGTCAAATTGAGAAAGCAATCGATTTTCTTTTTCATCAAAGTGGGCGACGCGGCTCACAGTGAGAGGATTAAAAAGTAGTCCCACCAAAAATGGGCCATCAAATCACCCTCTCACAGCCCTACCCACCATTTTGGGTTCCATTATGTGCTAGTGACACACAAGATTAATGGTTAATGATATGATAATCCTTTCAGGGATCAATCCATAAATAACTAAAAACATAACAAATAGAATAATTAAATTATATATGTGTGTATTGGTAACAAAGCATCCAATATTGACTAGCATATCTTGGTGAGAAAAATCCAAGTTGATTTAATCCTTTGACCAATTTGACTAAGAGTATTAAACGAGTCAAGTGGGTTAAACTTAATCCTCCTCTTGTTCTATTCATAGAGGAGAGAGAGAAAAATTTTTTTGATCTTATTTATAGGATACTGAGAGAAATTTTTTATATGGATATATAATTTTACCCTTCATGTATTATTATGTTGATTTTATTTACATAAGGTATATTAAATAGGGATAAAGTTGAAAATTTGTTTAATTTTACATGAAAGTTAATGAAATTTAAGGTTTTTCTTGGTTTATGTGAAACATGTTAGAAGTGATTTATAAATAAGATTATAGAGGATTTTGTTTTCATTGCAATGTCTAAAACAATGCCATCTTGAATTAAAAAAATAATAACTCATCACATTCATACTTCAACAACTTTGTTTTGTTGGATTATGTGGTTTATATATGAATGTTTCATTTACTTATAGATCAATGTCTTCTCATTTAAATACTCCTCTTTCCAGTTTGGCCCCCAGGATTATATGTTAATATTTGCGTATATTTCAATTAAAGTAGAACATTTTAATTATGATTGAATTGATGCCGGTTCAATTGTAGTTAGATTATTGACTTTTAAACTATTATCTAGATTAGTTTAATAATTTGTTTGAAGTACCTTAATACGGACTCTCAGTGTATGATATCTTGGTATAAAAATCTATGCGTAAAATATATTTGATGATATTTTTTAATGGGAAGTTAAGGGAAAAAATAAATATTATACTTGTAATTTCTTGTTAGAAGTGAAAATTTATTTATATATAATCCAACGCACGCCATGACATCTATGCTTAATCCTACAAAAAATATTTGTACCATCTACTTTGATCCATCACATCACTTCAACAAGATCAACAGATGGAGATAAACGATTGAAATATTTCCAATATGATTCAACCAAAAACCCCAAAAAGTATGATTATGATATGAACTTTTATAGTTATTATAATTTAACATTAAATGCACAAAATGGATGATGATGGTTAAAAAAACACAAAAATAATGGATCACAACAAGTTTTTGTTTTTTTGTGAGACAAGGATAAGATTTGGGGTTGGCGGTGTTGCCATTTGAGCATCATAATTAATGAGATTGATTATATAAATGAAGCAACAAGGGAATCTTTTATAGCCAAATGTTAACACAAAGTGTTGCACAAAAGTTCAAATTGACACAAAGTCATTCGATCATTAAATGATAGTAATTGGAGGATTTGCGATTTAATTGTGGTTGAAATCTGAATCAGCCTAATTGAGATTAAAATAATATAAATTTGATTCAAATATATAAAAACATCCATCTACATAATTGTAAGAGTATATATTATTTAATTAAAAACGTATTAATTTATAGGTAAATAAAATATAATTTTATATACCCCATATAATCCAATAAAGTAGTTATCAAAGCATAAATTATATGGACAATTTTTTTCACTCATCATAACAATGTTGTTTCAGGTCTAAAAAAGATGGAAAAAAATATAAAATTTAAATCGGTTGACCTAGTCAAAATTCTTGATCAAAGTGATTAGAGGACTAGTTCATTAATTTATTGGTTTGATTGTTTGACCTGGGTTGAGTTCTAATACTATGGGTAAGTATAAAGTTTTTAAATTATTTTCTTCTTTTTAAGGTTTATAAATTTTAATAAGTTGATTTGCTCATTCATTTATTGATTGGTGCATGTTGATAATGGGAAAGAAAGGCAAAAGGAATTAATAAGGCATATCCTCTTTGGTAAGTATGGGAGAGTTCCACTAAGGCACATAACGTGTTGGTGCTTTGTCCCCTAAAGATTCAACATTTCATCCATATTCTTTTGATTTACCTACCCCACCGCTTTATTCCTTTCTTTTTTTCTCCTCCCCCACCTTCCTTCCTCTCATCTATTTTTTTTTTCCTTTCTTTATCTGAATTTCTGTCTCTCTCTGTACTACATTCACATATCTGTATATAGTACATTTACACCACGTATCAAAATATCACAAGCAACGGAGTAGATATTTGATTGAAAATAGAGATCAGGATGATCATATATATCACTGGGATGATTAGTCTTCTATGCGGGTTATAGTAAACGTTATTAAGTGAGATGCCATTAATTATCCTGGTCTATGATATATATATATATATATATATATAATACTAATTAGGACGATTATTTTCTGTTGTTTATGTTAAGGGATGAGACAATTATTCCTTCGGAAGTTAGAACATATGATGCGTTGGTGTGGCTTATTTGAACTCTTAAAATAATTTTTAAAAAATCTCTTTGTGGATATTTGTTTTGCTAAGTACATATATCTTTTTTTTCTAAGAAAATTTTCTTCAAAATACTATTAGGTATTAAATATAAGCACAACTTCTAACGAAATCTTGAACATTGATTCATTACTTTACAAGGGACTATTATATTCTTATGAAATTCATAAATGAAGTAGTTAATGGTAGGGTTATCATTATCCTTTTTGGGGTTACGAATCTTGTATGTGTTCCTAAAGTATCTAAATATAAAAAATTTAGATATTTGTACCCTTGGTACTTAGTTGTCTTTATCATACAACTTTAGGAAATAGTTATTTGACTATTTGGATTGGGCATGCACTTTATATGAGGTGATGATAATGCAATGTGTAATTTGGCCTTGGAGTTCTTGTTCTGCACATTTCCTTGAATTTCCTGAACTTTCAGGGTGATTAAAAAAAAAAAAAAAAGCAGTGCGGAAAACATTGAAAAATGTGGTTGGGTCACTTTGGTTGGGTTTGTGCCTCTTGTAGGCTGGCATTCTGCTAGCTCCTTTCAAAAATTCGGACCCAAGCCCATATGAACTTATGCAATAAGACTAAATACCTTATTCTCTCTTTGAATCTAAATATAAAATTTAAATTCATTTTTTATGAATTTTTAGTCTCAATCTACCAAAAAAATTATTGGTTGAAATAACATAGGTTCTTTATAAGTAATATTTCTATCTTTTTTGGCTAGTAAGTAATATTTCTATTTACTTGAAGTTTCACATAATATTTTGATTAAATTTAAAACACTATGATAATGTTTATATGCGAGATAAACAAGTAACTAAACATAGGTCGCTAATAAATTAGAGACAAAGGATTTGGACACCATAAGAATTATCCTGGTTCGGTCCCCTGACCTACGTCCAGTCCTCTTGAGAAACGCTCAAGAGATTTTCCCACTATGAAAGTCCAATTACAGTCCCAATAACTTATACAACAAGTTCACCTAAAATTCTTACAAGTCACAACTCTAAAATTTTTACATAGCTTGCTCATAATTAGTATCCAGACCCCAGACTAATAAAACATATGGAAAAAGTATTTTATTGCATAAATTGCACTCAAATACTCAAATTTCAACAATAATATTCAAGAAGTATACAATCAATCTTCATTGGACATTGATGAGGCTCCTTCTTCTGCATTTCTTTTATTTATTAGTCCAATGACTAACTTCCTCTTTGACCACTATCAGTTATTCTTTGCTCCTTGATTCTGCAATAAAGACATATGGATCAATCAGGATCCATTTTATCAATTCCATTTGAAATAATTTGAAGAGTATTTGTTATTATCAAAACTAATAATTGATTGGCTAGCAGTCAAAGATTTGATTCTTAACACATTGAAATTAGTAAACTAAACAATGAGACTCATGTAGTCCAAATCTGATCATTTACCTTCAAATTCCAAAATTGGAAGGTGTTTGTCAAAAATATTCAACATAATCACTGCACATCCATTTTCTGACCTGATTTAAGCAAACAAAATATCATATTAATTTTAAGAAACTATCGTAATATACTAAAATGAGCAAAAAAAATACTGCAAGTGGCTAGTTATTCAACAAAAAGTGATGTCCAGGTAAATCAAAGAGTGTGAATTAAGACGCTAATCTCAACAAATTGAGCTAAGTATCTACTAATACCAAATCTAGATATCACACCTTGAGTTGTTGCATTGTCCTTATTATTGCTGAATCAAAATAGCAATTGAGGAGGAAATTCAATTCTGCCCCATGCCAATTGTCAATTGCATAATACCCACAATGCCGTTAATGTTGAAACCTGGAGAAGCACAACCCCAGAAATCAAATTTTGCATCCAACTTATAAAATGATTGAAATGAGAAACAAAGCAATGCCATTTTTTTCGGTAACACATAGAAATCGGGACCATTGATAATTTTTTCCTTTAACTCTTGAATTACCTGCCTTCCTTACTTCTCATATAACTGTTTTCTTCAAAACAGAGCAATTCACCTAGTTCCCTCACCTATTTTGACATGATTCATTAAAACACAATACTACTATTAGATTAAATTCTACAGCACATGAATATGCTTTCAATCTCAATAATTAAAAAGTGTTTAGTTTTAACAAAATGCATTACCTAAGATGTGCCATCTTCAGGAAACATCTGGCCATTGCTCTGCTTATTGAAAGCCAATAAGTTTCTGCTTATGCAATTGTAGATCAAGTCACTGAAAAGAAAGGGAAAAAGAAAAAGCAACATCCAAGGAAAAACTGTCAGTCGAATTTTAGTTTTGTGCTTTTCGAGTCATTTGTGAATATAAAAATAAGATATTTTCTGTCACTCAAAGCTTCATATGAGGACCATATTAAATTAAAAAATTGAAGTTAGCAAATTTCTCTAACAAGCAATGAGCCTCATACAGACCAGGCTATCTAATCCTATACCTTGGAATACCAATCTTGAGACGGTGATGCCATAAAACCCTCAAGGACAAATTACAAGAAGGCTTAACGAATATTTAACACACAAAAATGGCGAACCATCACCTTAACAAAATTACATTATATTTCAAAATGGCGATTGTTTAAGGCAAAAAAAAAAAAAAGTTCATACTCACATGAACTTCTCATGATGAATCAACTCCCAGTTTGACCCAAAAAAGGAAAAAAAAACTCCCAGAGATGATGGCATTTTGATGACGGGAAAATAGAGAATTTGAAGCAGAGGATCATTTTGAAGGCACTTTGCCTTGATGTTCTTCAAAATCTTTTGGTAACTTTGGAGTTTCAATTCTGCCACAAAGCTTCAGAATCTGCAATGTGAAGAAGTAACACGAAAATGGAAATCAATTCGTAACCGAACATATGCTCATATGTGGTAATGGAAAAATATATGTTTTCAATTTTATTTATTAAAAATCTGATGTGATATTAATAATATTTTGCCGAACATGAGAAGTAACAAACTCTTTTTTTTTTAATAAGAAAAACAGTATGTCTTTGTAGGAAAAGAAAAATTGAATGTAGGCGCGCGTGTGGGGCATAGGCAAGATGTACCCATAAAATGTTGGTATCTATTCGATGATCACGAAGGGAATATATCATATGTGGGTTGTGAAAAAGAAAAAGGAAAAAAAGTATACATATTAATAGATACTAAAATGATGAAATGTTGTGAAATTTGAGAGCCAACCTTTTGAAGCAATATAATGCACCATCTCAAGGATCATAGTATTCTCCATTGATTCGTATGGTGGGAATATGAGCAATCTTGGACAAGTGTTTCCCTCTCTCATAATCATATCTCTCTTCTAATTTTGGACAACGTCTGATTTCCAACAACAAAAGAGAGGATGGTAGCGCATCTTCTGGCAATGATTCAAGGTTTTCACAGCCATAGATGGAGAGCTGTTCAAGAGAAGTAAGGTGTTGAAGCCCTTTTCCTTCTAACAATTTAAGATTGGACATAGAGTTGATGTAAATACTCACAAGAGAAGTGGGTAGTAATTGATTCTTTAGTAAATTATGGAGAATACTTTCACTTCCATCACCCGAAACTCCAACCCATGAGAGAGAAGTCAGGCGTTGAAACCCCCAGTCTTGGATTGGTATAGAAGATAGTTCATTATAGCCCTTAATAACAAATGATCGCAAGTTAGAAGGCAAACCACCTTCAGGCAATGATTCCAACTTTGGAACCAAACTTAGACGAAAGCGTTGAAGGTTGGCAAGGGAATCAACATGTACTTCTGACATTGATATAAGTTTGTTACAGTTGTGGACCCAAAATGATTCTAAGGGAAGAGCAGACCCCCCAACATGTGTAAAGGTCTCCAAATTATGACAGCTGCAAATGTCAAGCCATTTAAGCTTGGGAAAACAACCTAATGGGAAAGATTTCAAGGAAGGACAACTATTATCAATTCTCAAGTCTTCAAGTGATGTGTAGTTTTGCCAAGAATCCTGAGGTAGGAACTCTAATTTCTCACAATTGCCAATGTCAAGACGTCGCAAAGAAGTGGGCAAACCATCAATTGGGAAGGACGTGATGGATGGGATATCTCCAAGAAACAGCATTTGAAGACAACGGCTACCCATTATCATTCTTGGCAAAGACCGCAAGCTATCACACTTCCCAATTGTTAGAAATTTCAAAGAGTCCAGAGATAAATCATCAAATGCTCTTAATAACCCCTGTTCACCTCGCTCAATGTTTAATTCTTGAATAGATGTAATCCACTGCAAAGTTGCTGATTTTGCCTTCAATTGTTTGCAGTTTGATATAGAAACATTTGTCAATGATGGAAGGTTGTGGGGCATGTCTCCCCGCAGTATGGGACAATCACACAAACTCAAACTTTTGAGTCTAGGGAAAGGAAATTTGACACCTTCACCATCAAACAACATCCATTCCTCCCAAATAGGCATATTTTCAAATATGAGAATCTCCAAGGATGGAAATGGCTGAAATGAAGAGTACTCGGGCTTGCTACAATAGAATTCATGTCCAACAGTATGCACTGATCCCATTCCACCAATCGAGAGCTCTTTGAGAGAAGGTAGTTCTCCAAATTGTGGGAGCAAAACACAATTACTGCAATCACTCACACATAAATTGGTGATGTTTATAAATGATGAATCTCCCATCCAACCAGGGAACCTGGTGCCTCCATAATGGTTGATGGTCAATTTCTTTAAATTTGTAGAAGGTTGCAACATGTTCAGTATATTTTTCACAGTTTGTGAATCTGAAGCATCGCAATCCCATTCCAACACTAACTCCGCAATCTTTTCTCTATTCTTCAAGTTTGCCTCCAAAGCATCCGTAGAATCAACAACATTTTGTAGATTTGAAATGGAAAGTTTACCTTGCAGATGAGGTAGCCTTTTCAACTCTTTAATTGCCAATCCATCCGGCTGCTTGCCCACGATAAAGGTACTCAAATTTTGAAGATTTTGTAGTTTTGCAACTTGTGTGGGCATCTCTTTTAAAGCAGTTGCACTAATGTCTAGATGACGTAAATTAACAAGCTTTTCTACCTTCTCTGGTAATTCATTAAAATTCACACAATTTGATAAAAGCAACGTCTGCAAATTGTAAAGGGTAAAGACTGCATCAGGCAAACTTCTAATTGAAGTATAGGAAAGGTTGAGATATCGTAGATGTAGCACATTGCCAATTGAATTTGGTACCTCAACGACATTTTCGTACCCTGATAAGGACAATGCTCTTAGGCATTTTAGTTTTGTCAACAAACCATTGAGCAACTTTTTGGACAAAACACATGATGGATTCCAATCTCTAAATTCATTTTGTGTCAAAAGAGTCCTCAAATAGTTTAGATGACAAAAGCTCTCACATTCTTTATAGCTGTTATATTCTTTTTGGGAAAACAATAAATGTCGTGCAGATTTTGGGACATCATTTTCCTCAAATTGAACATAATTCTTTCCAGCTACAAATTTGGCTAAATCATTGATGAGATCGTGCATGACAAACTTTTTTGGATTACTACCATACTGTTGAAAGAATGACCGTGATAGTAATTCATTGAGATAATCTTCTACTTCTGCCTCTAATGTCTCCTCCCCATGGAATTGTTGCACAGCACCTTCAGCCATCCATAACAATACCAATTTCTTTTTCTCCAACACAAGATCTTTTGGAAAAATGGAGCAATAAGCAAAACATTTTTTCAAATGTGATGGAAGATAGAGATAACTCAAATGCAAAGCAGGAAGAACATTAGCATTTAGTATCTCCCACTGCTTGCTATTCAGAATTTTATTCCATTCCTTTGCATCCACTTTTGAACGCAAAAGACCTCCTATTGTTTTAGCAGCAATTGGGAGACCACCACATTTTTTCGCAATTTGCCTTCCAATTGCTTCTAGCTCTGGATGTTTGTTTGGATCTTCATTTCCAAATGCATGCTTGGAGAGTAAAAACCAACAGTTATCATCTGAGAGACGACTCAATTCATGTACGGGAAATGTATGTGTGATTTGAACAACTCTTGGTTCACGAGTTGTCACAATAATTTTGCTTCCCGTTCTTCCGCTATGAAAAGGAGTTATGAGATCATCCCAATCACTGTATTTTTCATTCCATAAGTCGTCCAACACAATCAGAAACTTTTTATTGCTCAAACTGTTTCTTAATTCAACACGAAGGAAATCTAGATTTTTACTATCATAGACCTTTTTAGTGACAGACTCAACAAGACTCTTAGTCACCTCGACAACATTAAAATCATCTGAAACACATGCCCAAGCGTTCAAATCAAAATGGTCTTGCACCTTTTTGTCATTGTAAAGGAGTTGAGCAAGGGTGGTTTTGCCCAGGCCACCCATACCCAAGATAGTGATCACTCCTATAGCGTTACCTTTTGGATCTTCATCACACAGAAGCATTTTCAATAGTTTCTCCTTATCATCCTCTCTACCAACCACAAGAGATTCATTTACCAGTGATGTAGAAGCTGTTTTATGCGCTTTCAAGCTAACACTTTGCAAATCAAGGATATCCTTTTGTTTGGCAAAGTGTTCAAGCCTTCGGGATGCTTTTTCTAGCTTGGAGTTCATCTCTCGGTTAAATTGACCAAAAGAAGAGGAAAGGAAAGAGTGCACCTTGTTAACAAAATTTTGAGAATCTTTATCCGCCTTGCATCTGAGAGACTCGGTGTTGATTTCATCGAGTAAATCCTCTGCATCATAGACAGCATCTTTCAACTTTTCGAGCCATTTCTTGACTGCATCATTCGTGATCTGCTTCTCTTCCGCATCATTGAGCACAGCACCAAGCATCAACAGAGTTGTCTCCAGCTGATCCAAGAGAGAGACATCGAGCTTTCTACTTTTCATGAAATCTCGAAACTCGCTTGAGGAGATCCGGTCGAGTAAGGTCTGCACAGAAGCAGAGATCAGTGCTTCTCCCACCTTGGCAGCTAACTCCATGCCTTGTTCTGTCTGGTAACTCAAAGGTATTACTTTAGATGATGGACAAGACGATTGAGAATGAAAAGAGTTTGATAGGAAGCGATAATAGAGTGGAGCTGGTTTAGATTGATTCGAGATAACACTTAAAAGAGGAAGTTGGTTGACATTTGGCTTCTTTGTGCGTCGGAAGATTCCGGGACATATGCAGGAAGAGATATGATTAATAATTTGAATCCCATATATTTCTCGAAAAAAAGACAAACGAGGGTAATTGTTAGGAAGACAAGAAGAACGCGTATTGTCCATATGGTAGGCCATGCACAGCAACATCTCTGTTCTTTCGTGGAAGAGTCTGCCCAAAACAATCACTCATTTTCCTATGATCTTCATTTTTAATTATTTTCACATTTTGATGTCTTAACATTGTTTGCGTGCCTTAGATTGTCCTAAATATCAAATTTCCTAGTTGTTTTGGTACAGGGAACGTGAAAACTTGAAGGGGGGGGGGGGGGGAAAAGGAACAGAGCACAGACTGATTAAATAAAAATTAATATTTTTATATTTTATATTAATGTTAATAGTTTTAAATGAAATAATGAATACATATATGAAATGAATTTTAAATAGATACAAGAAACCTTTTTATTTTATTATAATTTATTAGCTGTGTTTTTATTTAAAAAAATTATATAATAAATATTTAAAATTTTCCTCTTAAAGTTAGGAAGAAATAAAAACTCAAAATCCCATATAATACGTTTCACTCTTTTCTAAATCAAAAAGCTAACTTTGCATAGCCTAATTAATATTAACATTATAGTAATTATTTCATTGAATTTTTTTGTCAATACTCCCTTCTATACTATATACAAATTATAAATAAGTGAACTATGTAGATTAAAATGTTTGTTAAGAATAATAAATTTGCAAGAAACGTTCTTTTTTCCCCAAATAAAGAAAATGATTGGAGAAAAAAAAAAAGGACCGGAGAAACAGATCAGTATTTGAGAGTACAAATGAAGAAAAAAAGTGAATTAAATTTTTAAACAAATACCAAATATATATATATATATATATATTATAAAAAGGACCAATTCATAACTTATAGAAGAGATCAGAGGGAGTAAAGGTGAAATAAAAATCTTTTTTAATTGTCATTCATATGCATATTTGTTTTCCTATTGACCGTTGAATAGCTTTCCAGGCCTCATTTCTGTTATGGCTGGCGTCCACCGTCTATGCAATATGCACGATGCACGGACGCGAAAGTGACCACTGGAAAGTACTTTTTGTCCTGAAAAATGTTAAAAAATATTTTCAGATATTTTATTTATATTTATTTAATGGACTTTATGAGAAGATGAGGAAATTAAAATTACTCCTGAAAAATAGTTTAAAGGTATAATTGTTCTTAAAAGATTAATACTTTAAGAATATAATTGCATCACAATTTTTTTTTTAAACTGTTGAATGCTATTGAAAAAAAATAATCTAAGATATGGACACGCTTCAAAGACTATTTTAAAATGCTAGATCAGTTTTATGCTCGATTTGGATGGGAAAGAAAATGACAGGACAAATAATGAAAAAAGAAAAAATTAAAAAATGTTATCACGTTGGATGAACAAGAAAAAATAGAAAAAAAGAAAATGAATAGATATTTGAATGACCAAAATATTTTTTTATGCAAAAATATATCATGTTTAAAATTAATTTAAATATTACAATAGAAAAATTATACTATTTCTGTCCTTAATATAAGAACTAGTTGACTTTTATTTTGATTATAAATATAATACTCCAATCTATTTTGTCTTTTATATTTATTTATTCTTTTAAGGTAGTCTTGGTCATAATAATGGTTCTAACTAATAGACTTGATTGGCAAGGATAATTTAAAAAAATAACATCTATTTATTACAAATAACTAACTTAACTAGTTTTTTTAATTTATTCAAATCAGTCAACTAAATCTTATATTAAGGATTGAAGGTAGTATTAACATTAGTATTATCAAATAATTTAAAATCAAATTATTTTATAAAGGTATATTTTCATATTACTTTATTTTAAAACCAGATAATTTGGAGAAAAATATTGCTTTTAATTGTAAAATAAAAAAGTGAATAATATTTTAAAGTTGGATATAACAGAAGAAAATAAATAAATTATACATTATTCAATGTTATTAATAAATATTAAAATTATATGAGTTTTGTCCAAAATATGTATTATAAAAAGTATCAATTCATAGCTTATACTCATCCCGTCTTTAATGTAAGATCTAATTAATTAATTTGAGTAAATTAAAAATATTAATTAAATTTATGTTTTTTTTAAAACCCTTTAAGTATCTTTCTAATTTCTTTCCTCCTTCTTTCATTTGATTATTATTGAAAAAAATTAATAAATACTCCTCTGGTCTTAAATATAAGATCTTTATATACTTATATACAGTATAAGAATCTTATATTTAGAATCGGATGAGTATGTAAAATAACTCTTAAAAAAAAACGAGTGTCATTTTCGCATCCGTGCGCAAAGGGTGACGGTAAAAAAGATGCGAGCTATCACATAAACGAGGCCTAGAAAATCACTCAACGGTCAATACAAAAACAAAGATGTGTATGAATGACAATAAAATTTTAAGCATTTTGAAGTATTTTTTTAAGGCTATCTAACATTTTAAATTATTTTATAATTTATTTAACATCTTAAAATATTTATTCATATGCATCCAGTATCCTTAAAAATATTTTTAAAAAAATAGTTTTTTTAGTGTTTTATATACATTAATTTAACAAACTTTTTGACTATGAATTTAAAATAACTCCTAAAAAGACACTTTAAAGGCACAAGTGCTTTTGAAAAAAATTCATATTTTAAAAATAAAATTGTATTATAAGATACTTTAAAATGTTAAGTGAGAAGGAAAAAAAAAAAAGGCTGGCGCATTTAATTCTCTTTCCCCTTTGTGCTCATGTTCATAGGGATTCAATTATTCATGGATAGAACACTTAGAGGGTGTTTGGATGATTGCCCAAACCATGGTTTGAGAAAAAATTACCAAAACACCTATCAATTTTTTAAAACCATGATTTTATCATAAAATCATGGTTTGCTTATCAAAACCAAGGTTTTGTAATAAGTAAAAAAATTTTGCTTTTTGAGTGGTTCTACGCCCACCCCCTACACTAATTTTTTTTTTGGTTGAAAACAATTAATTTTTCTAAAAACATAATCTTATATTTTACAATTATATATACACATATTAACAATTACTACATCCTGTCTTTAATATAAGACCTCATTTGATTTTTATTTGGTCCTAAATATAAAACCCCAATTTATTTTATTTCTCATATTTGTCTATCGTTTTTCAAGTTATAACCAATAACTTTGATTAATAGGGATATTGTAAGAAAGGCAATACCTATTTATTACAAGTAACTAATTTAACTTATTTTTTTAATCTACTCAAATTAGTCAACTAACTCTTACATTTAGAATTGGATATAGTAATTAATATATGTTTTTATACATTATTTATTATGTTGGCAAAAAAATTAATAAATTTATTATTTCGGTCTTTAATGTAGGACCTAATTGGAGAGTTAATATTGGTCTTAAATGTAAGATTATTATTCCGGTCATTAATGTAAAATCTAATTGGAGAGTTAATATGTAGACAAGATCTTAATACCTTCATTAATAGAATCTTCATCTCACATGGCTTAGCTTCATGACTCCATAACAGATCAAATTATTTACTATATACAAGAATAGTCATGTCCTTTTTATTTTCTTTTTTCTTTTCAGATAATGTAATGTGTTGTTAAAAAAAACTACTTGGAAAAATATATTTCATTGTAACCTCTATTATTAAGATAATTAATATGAAATTTTTTTGTATGGTTATTTAATTTTGTGACACAAAAATTATGGGTTTTTATCTTTAAAATTTTTAAGAAATAATAATATTTTTTTTGGCAAAATAAATCATTTTCCTAAAAACATATTTAATTATTTTATTAATATATATACACATTAATTTTTTATTATTTTTATTATTTATGTCTTATTTATTGTGTTGCCAAAATATATATTATTAACAAATTTATTACTTCAAATAAACATATATTATGAAATATATCTTATATGTAATTATCATTTAAACTTATGTCTTTTTTAGTAATTTCTATATATCAAAAAGCACTTCTTATAATAATTATCCAAACACTCTCACTTTATCCAAATCACTTTTTCAGAAAATCTATTCTTTTCATAATCTATTCTTTAGAAGCTATTCTCCAAACCATGGTTTTGCTTCATCCAAACATCCCCTTAAAAGAGGAAGCTTGACTTTTGATTACTTTGCGTCCCCGGAAATAACGTCGGAAATACCATCCCGGAAGAGAAATGATTAATTATATGAATCCCATGTATTTCTCGAAAAAAGGACAAAAACGGGTACTTGCAAGGAAGCCAAGGCGTGTATATATAAATATACCATTTCTGACCTTTAATCTAAAAACTATTTAATTAATTTGAGTATATTAAAAAAATTAGTTAAGTTGGGTATTTATAATAAATATGAGTTGATTTTCAAAAAATTTCTTTTTTAATCATGATTATTATTAGATAAAAGTTTTTTAATATGTGTAATCAATAATAATACTTTAGTAAATAAATTATAAATTTAAAAAATAAAATAAATTACGGTGTTATAACAAAATTCCCACTATCTTTTATTCTTTGGGAGATGATACTTCATTTTGTTTCTCTCTCTTTTCTTCAAAAGTTGAATGTGCATACCGTTATAGCCAAGTTGACGAGAATATTTTCTTGATTCGAGAACACAACTGTTTTTTATTGACGAGGAGGTTAGGTGGAAAATTGTGAATGCCATGTGACTGCACATGAGCAATTTTGATCAAACAAATTTATTTTAGATCTGATTTAGGTCTTTCTTGGCTTCTTGCTAATAAAAATATAAAATCTTTTATGGGAGAATTTTC